TTTCTTTTTTTTTTAAATTAACTTATTTATTGCAGTAATCAATGTAGAAAATCTCATGACATCCTTGGTTTATGATACTAATACTAATGGCTATTATTTATTGAGTATTTACTATATACCAGGAAATGTGCTAAGCATTTTACGTAAATTATCTCATTTAGTTCTAGAGGGTTATGTCTAAACAATATTAATTCATGAATTAGTTAATTGCTGTTAAGAGTTTCAGCATGAGCCAGGAAGTGCATTAGCGCTGGATTTGGAAATTGCTATCTTGGCTATATAATAAATGTATTCATTCAAATGTTAATGTATAAAGGTGGATCTTGGGAACAGAAATGGAATAGTGCTTATAAATTTATGTCAGTAAGATATATGCCATACAAGTAAATGTGAACGTTCCAACTACACTATATATTTATAAAAACATTCTTTTCTCTATGATAAAACACCTTTTAAAATTGTGGTTTTGATAATTACGATACAGTTAATCTATATTCGATTTACATAATTTCCATCCATGTATTGCTTTTAAAATCTGACCCATTACTTCATAAAATGAGATGCAGAAAACATTATTCTTATATCAGGGAGTATCAAGGATGGGAAAAGTTGCCATAGAATAGAATCAGTCCTACTTGATTGCCAAGTGGGGACCCCTAGCTATTTTTAATAGAATTGGATTTTGTCAAATGCTTTCTCTCTGTCAATTCATACTATCATATGATTTTTCCTCTTTAGCCTGTTCACATGGTAGGTTACATTGATATTTTTTGAATATTAAACCACCGGCTCTGCTTGTATGGAATAAAGCACTCTTGGCTATGATAGGTATTTATTGTTTTATTTGACTCTTTAATATTTTATTAAGGATTTTTACATCTAAGTTCATGAGAAATACTGATCTTTAATTTTCCTTTCCTTTTTTTTTTAACTTCCTTTGGTTTTAGAATCAGGATACTAGTAATAATTCTTTAGTGAAACTGGGTCTGAATTTTTGTGAGTGTGTGTGTGTTTTCAAGTTACAAATTAAATTTCTTTAATGGTGAAAGGACTATGCACATTGTTTCATTGTGGTTCGGTTTTGGTATTTTGAGATTTTCCTCCTTATTTTTTAAATATATTTATTTTTTAGTTGTAGTTGAACACAATATCTTTATTTTATTTATTTATTTTTATGTGGTGCTGAGGATCGAACCCAGGGCCTCACAAGAGCTAGGTGAGCACTCTACCACTGAGCCACAATCTCAGCCCTTCCTCCCTATTTTTAAGGGAAATAGGAAAACATTAATGAGAGGGACACAAAAAAAAAATGAAGATCTTACTAATAATTTGAGAGAAAATTCATAGAAAGCAGTTTTTATGTTTAAGATTTGACTATTAACTCATTAATCATAAATCTACACCCATAGCATGCAGTGTAGATGGGCTTTTTTTTTTTACCTGTCACCCTAATTTCAGAGGTTTTTTTTTTTTTCTCTATATGCTACCTAAATTCCAAGCCCAACAACCAAGTATTTCACTTGAAATCATACCTGAGTCTAAAAAAAATAAAATCTTCCTCTGCTATGAAAATAATGCTTTATATATGTTTGCCTTGTGTGTGCGAGTGCTGTGGGTGGACCTTGCACATGCTAAGCATGCACTCTCCACTGAGTTGCCCCCAGCCTGTGCTTGCTATTTTTATGGCAACCTGTTTTACTCAGGGTCCAAGAAGGAAAACGGGTTAAGAATTTCAAGTAGAGGGAAGTTGATACAGGGAATTGATTACACAGATGATAGAAACTGAATAAGCAATAAACATGATTATGAGGTAACTCACAGACTAATAACCTCAGGAAAAAAACTTCTCCAGAAGGAAGACATCACACTACAAAAACTGCATACAAGGGAGAGCCTTATGGGCCCTGTGCTCAGAGATTTGAAGGGGGGTGTCATGGATGGAGGTTTCTAAACACATTGGATACCTGTTGGTTTCTCCAATGACACAACAGACGTGACTTGGAAAAGACAAATCTAGCAGAGCCACTTCTGAATAGCGTAAACCTAAAATAATACATTAAATATTTCACAGCAAAGGACATAGACAAATAAGAAATAATTCAGTTGAAAGCTGCAAATTAAAAGTGAGTGCTTATCATGACTTTTACTAAGCATCAGGAGACTGAGGTTAGCACAGGGCCTACTCAAATTTGTTAATGGATAATTCAGTTTACTTTTGGGGCAATGTGCCAATACAAACAGCAGGATAGTCCTGCCAATAAAGATGAGCATCTAACAAAACACACTGCCCATTTTATAAACTTTATATCCAGGGATGTTTCCTTTGATTTTTTTTTTATTTTGGGGGGGGCGTTGTTCAGAATCTAGTGTAGTAGGCATCTCTGCACCGGAAGCAGCAATACTTAGATCACAATTAATCAAATTCAGTTCACTTAGTGCTGAGAAAAAATAATTGAAAAAAGAATACAATCTTATTTCCTTTTGTCAATGCCAAACAGAAATGCAGAGAAGAATCTCCAGTAAATTAACTTTTATTTGAGAATGAAGAGTAGGATTACAGTTCAGTAGACATGCACAGGCTGGAGAGTCCTCTGGTAGATCCAGAGTTAAAAGTAAAAGTTGGGGATTTCCTTAGGACAGAAAAATCCAGTTATGAAGAAAGCACATTGGGACTTTCAGTGCTTGGTTGATCTGGTGAGCTCTGATTGGGGGACAGTAGCATTTACCATGTAAATTTAGTCTTAAGTTCATAGATGGAAGTTCTGTGGACAGTTGCTAAGAAAAAAACATATATAGTCTTAAAGATAAGGCAGGCTGTTTTTCTGGATGATCCTGGCAGAGCAGTTCCTGAAATAATCTTCTGTGACCTGAGCACTTTTGTCCCCCCCCCCCCCATGGCCTTCTCAGCACTATTTTAAGATGGGTATGACAAGAATGTTTTTACTTGTGTGCTCAATTGCCACACCCTTACAGTAAATAAAATTTTAGATTGGGTTTAATGATACAGTCATGCATGGCTTAACAATGGAAATGATTCTAAGAAATGAGACTAGGTGATTTTATCAGATTGACTAAGATGACTACAGTGTCTCCAGGTTATATCATCTTTTGGGGTCACATTGACTGGAACATTGTTATTTGCACACGACTTCTTTAGAGACAAAGGTCCAATGTTTACACTGAAAAGGAATAAAAGCTGTTTTTTACCTTGATTTAAAGGTACTTGATCAAGCACCACTAGGTTCCCCCTTCAAAGACAGAGAAGCTCCCATTTGGATGTTTTCCGTTATCACTTAAGAATCATCTCTGGAAGCTCCAAGTGTCCTTGTCATAGCATTCACACACAGCACCGTCCTGACTTTCTGAATTGAAATCAAATGTTGGTCATTTGCTGACATAGTGCTAATCCAACTTTCTATGGCAAAGATGTAATGGACCCGAACCAATCAGACAATTCCAGTACATCTGCCTTACGTTTGGCCTACACTATTTAAAGCTTACTGTAATGCCCAACAGAGGCCTGTGTGAGTGAAGCACTTGTAATTACAACTAAACCATTCCCATAATAATAAATACTGAATTTACTGTCTTCATTGAGGTGATCATGATTTTCTACTTTAATCTGAAGCATGATAAGTTATACAATTTTTAGATACTGAAACATCCTTGCATCCCTGGGAAGTACCTGCCTTGGTGCATGACACATTATTTCTTATAGACTATTACACTCAATGCACCAACATTTTATCGGCAATTTTTCCATATATGTTCATAAATGAGATTGGTCTATAAATTAATTTTTCATTCTGTCCTTGTTCCATTTTAGATTTATGGCTAATGGTTAGGTGGCTTCCTTGCCTTTCTATTCCCTAAGAACTTCTACATGACAGAAATTATCTGTTCACTGATATTTTTCCAGAATTTGCCCTTTAAACTTTCTTTTGATGAGGTGGAATTGTGATTACTAATTCCATTTTCTTACTGGCTTTTGGTTGTTTTAGACTGCCAAGATCTTAGCTAAACTTTGGTAACACTGGTTTTTCTAGAAATGGATCCATTTCTTTTTCTTATACTTCCAAAAAACTTTGTTATCAAGTTTTATAGTATTCTCACAATTATTTAAAATCTGTATTTATAATTGTGTCTCTTTAAAAAAAAAATCTAAATACTGTTCACTTGGGTCTTTTTTCTTTCCTTGTTAGGACTTTGTCTGAAATATCCTTCTGATGCAGCTCACAAAGCTCAAGGGGCATCACCAGCTCCTTGCTGCTTCGGCTGTGGCTTCTCCTGGCCCGTCATGGGGACTGTTTGCTTCCTCATTTCTTTGTACTTTAAAATATACCCACAGCTTTAGTAGTGCTATTTTGCTACACCTCCAAGTTCTCTTTAGTCTATATTTTATCCTTTCACTACATTTCCTTATGTTGGTTATTATCCATGCTGATTCACTTTTGCTTAAAATATCATTTTGAGAATGGACACAATGTTAAATTATCATTATGCATTTGCCAGATTTACAACTATAAGTGCCTACTGTACAGTGGGCATTAGACATACAGATAGTAAAAAGATAAAAAGAAATGATTCATATTAAATCAGATGTTTTCATACTGTAAATATAAAAATGATTATTCTCCTCTCCTACTGTATTTCACAATTACAGACGAACCATAGAGTATGATTACAGAAGAATCATTTTTGAAGTAAAGTTTTAGACACATAATTTCATACAAATATTTTCATACAGTACTGTAATTGGTCACTTTTTTTTTTTTGCACCAGGAATTGAACCCAGCTGCACTCAACCACTGAGCCATATCCCCATCCTTTTTTTTTTGTATTTTATTTAGAGACAGAGTCTCACTGAGTTGTTTAGGGCCTCCTTAAATTGCTGAAGCTGGCTTTGAGCTCACAATCCTCCCGCCTCAGCCTCCCAAGCCACTGGGATTACAGGCATGCATCACCACTCCTGGCTTGGTAATTGGATTTTTAGACAGTTCTGTAATGGCAATCCCATGATGAGAAATCTAAGAAACCTGAGTTAAACTTTACAAATGTCCTGGACTCATAAGCTGTTTCCTAAAAGGACTTTTCAGTAGTTTTAATTAATTGTAATTAGCAACATTCCAATCACAACTACAAAATTTCTGACAATATTCTCTGTGACAACTACAGGCAGTGTGCTTCTGGACTCTCAGAAAATAATTCCTGAAGGAAGACAACTCTCACATGGGAGTTTACCTTACTGGAGCAAAACCAGTATATTTTTGCTCAAGAATGTTTGACTTAAAAAAGTAAAAACTAGCCGTCGCTATTCCCTAACAGCCTTTTCAAGTTAACAAAAAGGGTAAATTAAAGTTTTGCATCCAAAACTGGCAATTTTGCCTTCTGGTCTTAAAAACCTATAGTTAATAACTGCTGAAGAAATGTGAAGATTCCAGAAAAAAGTAGGTAGTATATTTAATTCTTCTTTTCAAACATATAAATTGGATAAATGACACAATAGTTTCAGAATGCCAGAACTAGGGCAGGGATGTAGCTCAGTGTAGAGTGCTTTGCATAGCATGCATAAGGCCTGGGGTTCAACCTTAAGCACCAGGAAAAAAATAAAAAGGAATGCCAGAACTAAGCAAACTAGTGGTGTGTTCCTACATGCAAAAAAATCCTTCACATGTCATTAATCATATTATTTTTCAAGTGTATGGGATCTGACTGTAAGAAAATTAATTCCTAAAGCCTGAAGTTAATCATACATGATGAAAAGTTCCTCCAGCAAAAGCAGTGCTTGCCAACCACTTAACTCAACCCTGATTATCCATCTTTTGAAGCTTCACATTATGTACAATTAAAGGTATAAACTGAAATTGGTTGACTGACTTGGTTTCCTCTGATTAGCCATTCACAAAACCACAGTGAGACCATAAAACTAATTGTTTCCTCTCTGGAGTTCCATTATGGAACTTACTGGTTTCAACATTGAAGAGAAATCGTGGTTCCTATATTCTATCAATGAGGAATAGGATCTGTCTTTGACTAGGAAGTTTAGTTCTGATATTCAACTGGTATAAGTACAAGGTAGTGCTGGTTAAATTAAGACCTTTCCTATAATTACTTACACTGTGAAAGTTATTCAAATTTCAAATTTATTTGTAGCTTTCAAAATCACACAACAGATCTCCATTTAAGCAATAAGTCAGTCACCTGTGGTAAGTTTGGATAATGAAAAATCTAAAAAAACTCAAACCAGACACACTTCTCTTACTTTCTCCATGACAATATACACTGGAAATCTAAATTCCAATAGTTCTCCTATTGAAAATAGTGAGATTTAGTACAAGCCACTTCACTATGATTTTTTAAATGTTTACAGAATATTGAGCCTCCATGGAAGAGAACCCTATTTAAAAGACATGATTATATTTTTAAAAATCTAAATTAACTCAGTTTATTTCCAAAATAAGAGTTGATCCATGTTTTCAGTTTATCACCACACAGAAAACATTGTGTAAAATAATATGGTAGACTTTCACTTAAATATTTTTATGTAAAAACCTCACAGTACAGGAAGAGATCACTATTAGGTATGAAGACATCAAAAGCCTGCCAGGATATTAAGTAGAGGGCAGAATAGTTCTGTTATCTCATCCTAAAAACTGTTGGCACATTCATTAACTGCCCAGGTTATAAAAATTACTTTGTATCTACTTCCTGACCTTCAATATATTTTTATATCCACGCTGCATAACATTAATGCTGGTAGACAAAATAGCTCATTTTAAGAATCTAAAAACCTTTCAGGTAGCTCAATGATTTAAAACCAACTAGGAAAAAACTCTCCCAAAATATTTTTTGTATGCAATTTTCTGTCTATTACCACAATAACAGTAAAAAAGCTGTGTACCTTTAAAAGAAGCAAAAGGAAAGTAATTTCACTTTCCTTTGAAAACACAATTTCTTAGCTCTTAAATAGAGAAAAACTAATTTTCGTGGGGAAGGGAAAAATATTTCCGAAGTAAAAATATCAAGTTTATGTTAGTTGTACAAATGTCTCATTTAGGAAAGAAAGTGAATATTTTAATTCAAAGGATTCTAAAATATTCATTACAAGAAAAAATTAATTTAAAGCTAAAAAACTGTAATACGTCATGCATTAACACATCCTATTGCTTCTTATAAAACCCTTGATTAAAGAACAGTAGATTAGGTAAGGTATCTATTTTTCCAATATTTGGTCAGATTAGCTAAATCCTGACAAAGACAAGTCCTCTGGGTCTCAGGACCCTCATCTTTTAAATGAGGGCACTGGACTAACTGCCCTTTAACACCCCTCCCAATCCACAAATTTATGTAATTAGTTTCTGACAGGTTCAAGAAAGTCTATTTTGTGCTGTGTGACTTGGCTTTTTAAAAAACATCATTCATATTTATAGGACATAATGTGATAATTTGACACATGTATAAGACATGTAGAATTGTCAATCTCACATAATCCTTTTAAGAATGAGGTGTTTCAACTCAATATACTCTGCAGATAATAAACACTCTCCATTTAAGTAATGAAGCTATGCTTAAATATTTAAATTTTTACTTCAAAATTTATGTTCAATGTATTTCCTTGTTCCCTTAAAAGAAGGTGAGATACAAACTTCAAAGACTCCTGGACCCACCAATGGGGCGATCCATGGGGACAACTTGGGCTCTGGTTCTAATTCTGTGTGATTCTGAATCACTGTGAGTGAAAACCAGGATGATAACACCTGCACTACAGCTCTTCGTTTAAAGACCAATAAAGTTATAATGAAGCATTTGTAAATTACAAATTACCACACAAATGCAATGGATTGCTGTAAGAAGCCCAAACTGATTTTCCTCAAAATCTGGATTTTAGAAAATATACATATTTTTTGTAATCACTTAAACAAACTAAAAACAAGGTAACCCACTGGTTACCTGACTATTCTCCTACAGTCCTTCTCTTCTGTGTCTCATCATACTCCTAACTACACCAGACCTGAGATTCAATGTCTCTCCTAAAGTCTAGAAATCTGACCTTCAAATAAGTGGAAACCCAAATCTAAAGATCTGTTACTTTAGCAAATCTAGCATCACCACTACTCACCCTGAAAGAGTGGTTCTAAACAGGCCAGGCATCAGACTCATCTGGAAGTGTGTGATCCCTGGGCTCCAGCCCTAGAGGTTCTGATTCAATATGTGTGGAATAGGACCCAGAAAAACTCTACTGTTTTCAAAAAGCTCCCCCAGGTAATCTCAACAACTAATTAGTTCAGTTTTGGGGACTCACTGCTTTACCCTCAATTTATTTTCTATAATTTTAGTACCTGCTAGTTTTGTTTTTAATATAAAAATTTTCCTTACATTAATCCTAAGCATACTCAGGACATACTACCCCTGATCTTGGCTTAGATTCACAGGGAACCAGTCATTACAATCCATTATAATAAAACAATCAATTAACTTCTGAGCTAAGACAATGGATGCAGATGCTATGGTGGCTGTGACTACATTGACAACTATGTTCTGCTTTACCTATAGTTGGGCACTGAAAAACTTGAAGACCATCTTATTGTGACTACTCAATAAAGAATGGCAGAACTCCTCCAAATAACAGAAAGATGACTAACCAGCTAATGAATATTATTCAAAAAATGTTTCTAGTAGACATAAATGTAAAGTATTTCTTTAAAAAACTACACAGCTTCCTGTGAGAAATCAAGACTTCCACACTTCTGAAGTCCACCATAAGAAGAAAGTTGACCATAACTATAACTGTTTAAAAATACGTTCAGTTAACTGTGAAAATATATGTGTAAAATAGGTATAATTTTATCCTTAGGAGATTTAATAGGCACAAATGGAATTCAGTTTCCATTTATTCTACCCAATGAGTTAACTGTGAAAATGACACATGAAGTATTTGGTATAATGTAGTTGTGAACACCATCCCTTCCGAATGTAACACAAAAACCACACTGGACTTTCCCAGCGTCTCAAGCGCCCTTAGGCACTGCGGAACGTGGTCATGTCCTTTGGCTCTCTGCTGGGGACACACCAGTCATCAGCTTCATGGTTGGTGTTGTAATGCTTCCAGGCAGCTTTGTTATACACGGGGAGTCTCTCAATCGATTCTGTTGACAGAGCCTGAAAAAAAAGCAGAAACTCTTAAGTCTGGCATTTTTTGAGAACTCATTAGTTGAGAAAACATAGAACAGCAAAAAACTTACTATAAATTCAATAGAACTCAACTGTTAATCATAATACCACCACATATTTTGCTTTATGTATGTATACATTTTAAAGTGTACATATTGGAAACAGGTTGTTTACTAAAACTGTGGCACCAATCAATGTGCATATTGATTGAGACTGTTGTTTCCAAGGTCGCCTGGAAGCTGCTGGATTCAAATTTTACACAAGTAGATGCTTCTTACAAAACACAAGCCAGACCAGAAGTTGGCTACTTGAAAAAGTCAGTTAACTGCAAAACCAAAAAAAAACTTGATACACATACCTTAATATGTACTTTAATATATGTACATAGATTTAATGAGATCTATTTTAGTTAATACTGAAGAAATATTTTTTCAGTACAGTCACTGTACAATAAAAAATTTATCATAACATTATCAATAAATATAAAACTATGTCTAGGGCATTTTGGCTTCTGCAAGAACAATTCTTCGTCCTGGGTTTGGTCTTGTGTTTTCTTCTGCCATTAAAGCCACCAATTTCAATCACACCACATGTGATTTCTGCATCATGCTTAATTTAAAGTTTTGCTATATCATTACCATCAATTCACTGTTCTACTTCAGCTTCATGTAAACCACTGGAACCTGAGATAAATGGCATTCTTGCTATTTTCTTCAAGTTAGGATTTTTTAAAAATTTCAAATTCAGGGTGCCAGCAACCCTTAAGATGTAGAAAATAATGAACTAGAAATTTCACCCTGAGTGCAAACTAAGGTTTTTGATATTGATGATTTTAATGATTTAGTAAGATTTACTATCTTCTATTTTTTCCCCAAAAATGGAACTAAAAACCTTTTACCTATATGTTTATTTTTCTCACATAACTTCTTCTGCATTTCCTATAAAATAGGTGCCATCTAGTGGCCATAAAAGCAACTAGAATCACCAAATAATTAGGCACCAACAGCCTGCTGCTTAACCAGTGCTTTTTTTGTTTTGTACTGGGGATTGAACCCAGGAGCACTTTACTACTAAGCTTTATTTCCAGTTATTTTTATTTTTATTTTGAGTCTAGGTCCAAATTGCTTAGGGCCATACTAAATTGCTGAGACTGGTCTTGAACTTGCAATCCTCTTGCCTCCCACTTCCCAAGATACTGGAATTATAGGCATGAGCCACCATGTTCAGTGCTATTTAACTAGTGATGCATCTCTGTGCTTCTGCATACCCCAGTAAAATCTACTGAAACTTCTATAAGCACATCTAACACCCAAGGCCAGTAAGCCAAGCACTACTGTTCTGCCAGATAAGCAATATATGCTCAACCAAGAGTCGCCAACGCTTATTCCAAATCTGTTTATGCAATTACATCTGTCATTGTAAAATTTAATCAAATATTACATTAACAACATGCAAAAAACAGGGGAGGATGTCTTTAAAAACTAAGATACAAGCTTTGGAAAGATTTGCGAAGGAAAGGCACATAAAAATTTTGGTCAACTTGGAGTCAGATGCTATCTTTAAAGGACTGCATAGAAATCCAAAAAGATTCTGCCATTGGTTGTTTCCTTGTTTAAAGAAACCAAAACGATGAACCAAAAGTATAGCCTGGCAAGAAAGACAATGTGACACTCCAATCTGCAGACTCTATGCAAAGAAAAGGCCCTGGAAGTGTGTCAAAAGATAGGTGGATCAATAGGTTATATGTTGAAATCAGTGCTGTGTGACATATAACTTCAGTTTTCCCTCCTTTAACCCAGTTTTTTCCTGTTAACAAGCACAGTCCTGATCGTGACAAATAAGAATGCTTGTGTCCCCAGAGACCAGGGGATCAACTGTCAAATGGATGACATCCCATGTAAATGTTTTTTTGTACTTTAACAGCATGAGGTAAAATAAAATTTCATTACATTTAAATGTTGGCACCTTTTTTAAACTCCAAAGAAATATTAAATCAAGAAGATTATAGTTATTACCTTAATATAAATAACTGCATCTGTCCCATATCCCTCTAAGGAATACAGCTTTAAGTCTCCTTGAAAGTACTGTGCATAAAGACGTGATATGGGCAATCCATAACCAAAACCGGCCTGTTTGATGAGAAAAACAAAATTCTATTCAGAAAGCCACATACTGAAATACTTTTCTAATTAAAATAAACACCACTGAGTACCCCAGGGCTAGCAGAACGTGTACCTGACAGATTGGTTAGTATGTAGGTATTAATTAATTAATTAAGCTGAAGCTTAGCTGAGTACTACATTAGCTGATCCCCTCTGGTTATTTAAAACTTGTTGTTCTTTTTATAAAATGACTTATGGAGGTCTGGAAAATCATATTTGCTTTTCTTTGCTAGGCTCCTCTAGGGTACTCAAAAACTGCTTTTGGCAAGACTACGTAAAACTCATTATCTTTTGAAAAGCAGAAGAAAAGCCTTACTAGACATATCTCATGATTCCACACCATGAATTTCCAGCCTGTATTCTAAACCTGGAGATCATCTGTAATAGGTCTACTTTCTTAAATCTCACTGACAGGTCACTTCCTTATTTAAAAACTTCACCTCCTACCATCCCCACTCACTGCCTTAGAGATAAAAAGGCAAGCTTCTAACAAGGGCTTTCAAGGCCCTTAAGGAGATGCGCTTCCCACTTTCCCATCCAGCAGAACCACATCTCCTTATGTTATTTCAATGTTTACTTCTGTGTCTGTTCATCCTATTCCCAGTATCTGTACTGGCCTCCAATAAATCCTACTAATAACTCTTGTCATATAACATAAAATCCTTGGATGTAGGTAAAACAGTTTTTGTTACTGAATATCATGTTCAGTGACATTCCATAGGGTGTGTTAATTAAAAGTTTATGTGGACTCAGGAATCAGAGTGCTGTTAACAAATTCAGGCTCTGGCTTCTACATTTTCTAGCAACTATTAGTTGACTTTTCTAACCAGAACTGTTAGAAATTTGCACACTTATCTCTGCTCTGGGAGGCTGACCTAAAGAGATTATGTCAATGGAGGCCTGTGCCCTTTGCTTCCAGAAAGTCCTGTCACTGGGAAACCCAGCAGGGGGTCTGAGGGAGAAAAGGAAGGGTATTCCTTTCCCTGGTTCCTTCCGTGTGAGGGGCCTTGGGTAGGATGCTTCTCCTCCAGAGTCAAGAGAGGCTCTGCAACTCTCCCCACTTCTGGGTTCTGCTAACTGCATCTTTCACTTCTTTTGATCCACAGTGGTGACAGTTTTATAATAAAGAAGGCCTATTTACAAAGAGACTAATCATATAAGCATGAGTTAGGATGTATAGGAACCCGCTTCCTTGTAAATAATCCTTCTGTGAATTATCATGAGTGAGCTACATGTCTCTGCTATTGGGATCCTGGCTGATATGATAATTGGTTCCAGAAGTGGCCCCAAGAAAACACACCAGTAGGTAGCTTAGGCTCCTAGGGTACCTGACCCACTTTATCACTGCTTCTCCACTGATTACACCTGAGGATTCATGGGGTGTCTCTCATGAACAGTTAAGAGAAGAAAACCAGCATGGGCCTAGCCCTGATGGATCTAAGCAGTATGCTTGTACCAGTCCATAGTGGGCTGCCCTGCACTGTAACCCTTATGGAAGTAAGAGAGGGCCTGAAAGACAGAAATCCCAACAGCATGGTCAGGGGCAAAAAGGCTGGCTGGCTGGCTTGTCATGGACTCAGAAAGAACAAAATTCTTAACTGATAAGCTGGCCTGGCAGCTTATCAGTTCCCTGAATGGGCTTATGGTATGAAGTTGTTCTGTCCATGCAAATGCCCACTAGCAGGCATTCCTGTGGAGGAAGCTCTCCAAAATCAGTGAACAAGAACGTTACCCGTGTTTATACGACAACCTTTCTCCAGCTAGCACCCCCCACCCCTACCCCATGCTTGCTGATTGGGTCCATGACAAAGTATGAAGGCAGCAGGAGGGAGGCTCCATAAGAGTCTAATAAACAGTCTTGCCTGTCCAAGGCTGCAGAGACACAGAGGGACGTCTGCCCTTTGTCAAGCCTCCCATTTCCAAAAAAATCCACATAAATCATGAACCAATACTTGCATGTTATTTATTATGTGCCAGGCACTATAGAAAGCATTTTTTACATATATTAATTCACTTAATCTCACAATTAACTCCATTTTCAAGCTGGGAAAACTGGGCATTATAAGTTCAATAAATGGTTCCCAAAAGGTCACACTTCTGGGCTGTGGTTAGGATGTACAGGAACCCAGTTTCCTTGTAAATAATCCTTCTGTGAATTATCATAATGAGTGAGCTACATGTCTCTGCTGTTGGGATCCTGGCTGATACGATAATTGGTTCCAGAAGTGGCCCCAAGAAGTCAGGAACCAGAGTCTGCACCTATTCACTATGCCATGCTCCACAGAAATTCTACAATATCTGCCTACTTCCTTCTTCAAGTTAGAATTCTAGGACATCTGTTTATCGTCTACATTTGACACTTGATATATGGGAGCAACATCTCAGGTGGAGAAGCAAGTTCCTTAAGATCATTTCAATTTGGCAAGATGCAAACTATTTTACTATATAGTCACAGAATATCTGCTGTGTAACAAGTAAAACTATTAGAATTAAGTCCTTCTGGTAATTTCCTAGGAAAGGTCTAAAATAGGTCCTTCTTATACATTACAGCCTGATGCTAATATATATGCCAGAGATGTGTCAAAGCCTGGGATAAGAGAATTCTTCTAGAATTACAGAATATTTGGCAAAGTGCTGTTTTGGGGGCCTAAGATCAATAAAAACAGCATTAAAATAATTATAATTTAGGCCTATCACACTGGTGATTAAACAGATCAGAATTTCAGTCTTATTTTTAAGTCTAGAATATGAGCTCTTTTTAATTATAGATATTTGAGGAAAAAAATCAACATTACAGATTAAATCTGTTGATCAAATACTATTAAAACCAGTAATTTATTTTTCACATTAGAAATAGTATATCAAAATATGGTTTATCATATAGAAATCTGCTATTATATTACTATCAAGCCTGGCAACAAGAACTTCAAAATAATAATCTGTCCTTCATCAATTTCAATTTAAAAAAAAAAATCAGTATTCCAGAAGACTGTCTGTTCAAATTTAGAGAAAGGTGTTTGCTTTAAGAGCTCCCCTTCTTCCCTGTGGAGCACCCTATACCATTTGTTTAACTGGTTTATCCAGCAGTCAGAGGCTGCCAGAGGCAATTCACAAAACTACATTTCATTCATTTCTGGGTCACATACCAGGGGCGCTGCGCGGGAAGTCTCCACACGAGGCCGGGGTGCAGTTGAATACATGTAGTTGAAGAGTCTGTCAATTTTCCTCAAAGGAACACCACCTCCTCGGTCACTCATCTAAGATAAGAAAGGATCATTCTCTATGACCAAGTCTCATCAACAGCAAAATAACAACACAGACACAGTGTCACAGTTTAACTGCTGGTAGAAGACTACTGCTTTTGAAAATGAATACCACATAGTCCAAGCTGCAAACAGCATTTCCCTCATGGTGTAGCTAACATAACAACTTCTCTACTATGTGAAATTCTAATATATAATTCATCACTGTGGTTGTACATATTTCCTGAAGTCTCACTATCAGAATTGGGCACAAGCTAAACCCATCCTGAATTAACAATCAAGTTGTTATTCCTTTCTGGTAGGCAGTAGAATAACTAGGATCAAATTAGAAATGCAAGTACACTTTAATCCAACAATGACACTTCCAGAAATTCATCCTAAGAAAATAAACAGAAAAGTATGAGAACATCCATCACAGCTTCGAGTAGCTAAGACTGGACAGCAACCTAAAGAGAGGATTAGTTAAGTAAAGAACATTCTAAAATAGCCATCTAAATGTTCCATATAACTAGTTGTACTGGCATGAGAGAAGTCTACAGAATATTGTTAGGCAGCAACGAGCAAGATAGGAAATAGTAATAATAAATCTAAATTTTGTAAAACTTATTTCATAACAAAGGCCTAAAATTATATATAATCTTTGCTTTGGAGAAGTTGATTTTCTTCTTTTTTGTTTTTAATTCTGAATTTTTTTCATGATTACTTTTATTATATTTTTTTAAAAGTACAATTTTCATTTTATAGGGAAAAAAACAAAAGTACCTCATTGTGGTCACATCTAAAAGCAGTTTTATAAAACAGGACACTGGATAATTTTCTGGTGAGTTGTAAGGTACATGGGTCTTTATATTATTCATATGTCATTTTCAACTCAAATAATCACATCATAGACTGAACTGAGTAAGTTATTTACACATTATTTTTACTGTTTTCCTTTACAGTTAATATGGACTCATTTTCTCAGCTGTAGTACAGATTATATTTTAATCTACTATGGCTACTTTCCTTTGTCACAAAATTAGAATTGATTCTATTACCTACCATGTTAATGTACAAATAAGCTTTTAACATATGTATATAATTAATATATTTATAAAGTTTAGTTGAGTTCTAGTTCAGTTTTCAATCATTTAAAATCTTTACAGTATGCAGATACTATTTTAAAATAGAAATTATATAGCTATTTTAATTTAATTTAATTCTATTTTATTTTGTGATGCTAGGAATCAAACCCAGGGCCTTGAACAAGCTAGATAAGCACTTTACAGCCCTATTTTAATCTTTAAGTAAAATAAAATAAAATCTGATTTGAAATATCATTTGAAGATCTACCTCTAATATATCTAAAACTAATTATAGTATAAAAGTAGATAAAGATTTTATTAAGAACTTGTTTATAGCATTATGGTTGAAATTGTTCTTGGCTATGAATTCAAAGTCTTGTAAAGTGACTTATTTTAGTAAGATGAACAGAGAGCTCTGGGTATTTTCAGAAGTCCATTAATTTGTTTTATTTGTGCTTTAATGCAATGTTCTGCTGCATATTTTCTGGTAACATAAGTAAGGAATGTTGGTGTTCTGTAAATATTAAGTAAGTAAACAACATATTAGAATAGACATTAAGATAAAAAGGTAGACTTGAATAAATATTTCCTGCTTTTCCTTAATTAACCTCTGGTCAGAGAGACTGCAACAATGTGGCAGGTAAAAAACAAGCTGTCAGCTGCCTGACAGCACCACAGGAGCTGAGCATTAAGGACAGTGGATTGTGACAAGCAGCATTTCCAAGTGGGGAAAGGGGCAAACTAAGCCATAGGAACTTTAAAAGTACACACCTGCAATCCTAGCTACTCACAAGACTAAGGAAAGAGGATTCCGAGTTTGAGGCCAGCCTGGGCAACTTAGTGAGACCCTGTCTCAAAATAAGACTGGAAATGGGCTGGGGATGTAGCTCAGTGGTAGTGTCCCTGGGTTCAATCCCTCATATCACAAAGTAAAATAAAATAAAATAATAATAATAATAATAAATAATTTGGAGAAGAAACATCTAGAATGTAAATTAAGCCTTTGTCAAGAAAGGGACAATGAAAGAGGTAAGTGACCCAATAGGAAGGCTGATGATGAAAAACTTGCCAATTATTTTGGAAGTTTTTCTCTCCAGTGAACAAAAATCACCACTTTTCAATGTAATCTTACCAAGAGCTGCCATCTCTAACTTCCTGTTCTCCATAACACTGGGCTCCCTGGGCTAATTCATGTGAATTTCAAGCCCAGAGGAAAGAAACCACTATTGACTTGATGACAGCTCTAAGCCAGGGCATTTTCTAGCCCTGTACATGTCAGAACTCCTGCAGTCTCTTAGCCAACAGCCTTTACACTGTCAAGTTTGTAAAATCACCAGCAGTGAATGAATCAAGACATGTACATTTTAATTGAAAAGACATATGGCTTAAAAAAAAAAGAAGACATAAGAGAAAAAACACGTGACTAAAACTCATATTATTTAGTATAGACCACACACAAAATCTGAAAGAATAGCTAGGGTTATAAGACAGAAAAAAACAACTTATCCATAAGATTTTTAGATGGATAAAAGATGGAAAATGTCAATAATATGAATAAGTTGTTGTTAAAAGAATAGAAAACAAAACAAAACAAAGCCTAGGCCTTAACTTTGAAAATCCAGGGTAAGTAAAGGGGATGAAGCTGTACTGAAGAAAGTTACAGTGATCACTTAACATACAGAGAGACTGTGAGAGGAGATGAACTCATACGACCCTAGATGTGAGGAGGAAGAGCAAAGTATGGAGGCAGAGCCTAATACAGGCAGGTTTCTACAGTGGCTTCCAGAACCATCATTTCAAGACCCTAATAATACTTTCTATTTTATTTTAAAAAGTGTGACTGAGATATAAATTACATACCATGTAATTTACTCATTTAAGTATACATTTCGATGGTTCTTAAAGTCCAACTCCTACCACAGTCAATATTAGGAAGAAACCCTAGATCCCTTAGCTATCACACCTGTGAGAAATAGAAAGTTCAGTGGTCCATTTTCAGAATATAGTATTTAACCTTAATCGGGATGTAATATCCAATTGTAGCCATTTTAACTATAGCCCTTCCCTTTGCCCACCCCAATTTTAAAACTGGCTAATGATGTAGATTATAACCCTTAGCTCTTCTATCAGGCAAGGGGGAGTGTTGGGTTAGGGATACAAGCAGGCGCACCACCCATCTAGGGGTGCTTGCTAGCCAGGTTCCTTAGTGTGCCTTTCTGGCAGAAGTGAAGTTTGCCTTGTCCACCCACTTTCGAGACGTGTTTGATTTCTTGTAGTACCTCAGTGTTTCTAACATACCCCTGGCCAATCACTAATCTATTTTCTATCCCTATGTATTTGTCTGTTCTGAATATTCCATATAAATGTGCCTCATAATTTGGCCTTTTGCAGCTGGTTTCTTTCACTTAGCATAGTGTTTTTAATGTGATAACATCTATCTTACAACATATATCAATACTTCATTCCTTTTACTGCCAAATGATATTCTATCACATATAGTTTATATACCACATTTAGTTTACCAGTTTTGTGTGTGTGCATGATACTAAGGATCAAACTTATAGCCTCCTCATGTATGCTAGACAAGTGCTCTAACAATGAGATACATCCCCATCCCTTTTTAAATTTTGAGACAGAGTCTGGCTAAGTTGGCCCAGGCTGGCCTCAAACATGGAATCCTTCTACCTGAGCCTTCCAAGTAATCGGGATTTACAGGCATGTGCCACTATACCCAGCTTTGTTGAACTATTTGTTCTATTTTTATTTTTGTTTATTTATTTATTTATTTATTTTGTATTGCTAAAGATCAAACCCAGGACCTTCCACGTGGCTAGAAAGTACTCCCCAATCCTTACCTATTCCTTAGTTGATGAATCTTAGGGTTGTTTTCAGCTTTTGACTATTATAAATAGTGATATTATGAACATTCACATATAAGTTTTTGCTTAAATACTTGTTTTCAATCCTTTGGGCTTCATATGTAGGAGTGGAATTGCTGGGTGATTACACACATTTCTTTACATTAAATGAACAGAGTCCCTAAGCAAAGTCTGTCTACCAGCACAGAAAGAATCTCTGCTGAGTGCCTAAGAACTCAGTGAACCTGTATCCATATGGTGATGGGAGGACCTCAACCAATGGGAGGCCGCCACAGACTAGCGTGCTAAAGCACAACGAACATAAGCAAGAAAAGGAACAAGAAACATCATGCCACAGTATATTATAAGCACCAACACAGAAGGCAGACGGATTTATTCTGAACCAAATAAACTTCAGTGGGCAAGTAGCTGACACTACTAACAACAACAAAAGAAACATTATCATCTGGGTTACAAAAAAAGTGACACACATTCATATTATTTTTAGAGCAAAATGATTCACTATGTACTTATTTATTTGTGCTTTGCCTTATTAAAGAACAGCCAAGAAAGATAAATAGATAAAAAGAAAGAGGAAAGACAAGAGAGTACAGGCAAATCAATTTTTTTAAAAAACTAAAATTTATATCCTCAGGGCAATACAAGAAAACTAAAATATAATACTATGAAAAAGAATAATAAAAATAATAATTCTTAAATATATATAACAAGATAATAAAAATAAAAATTCAATAGAAGGGCTGGGAATTTAAAGTCATAAAAATCTCATAGAAGAAAAGTTAAAAAACAGGAGGAAAAAAAAGATATGAAAAATCAATGATGACTTCAAGAAGCCCCACATCCTCTGGATATGGCAACCAGAAAGAGAAAAAAGAAACAGTGGGAAGGAAAGCATCAAGGAAATAATGAATAGTCTAGAGTTCAGCCCAAGAGGTAAAGAAAAGTGCACATGGGTCAGATCATGGTGCGATTTCAGAACACAACTGAAAACAACTCTTGAGAACATCAGTTAAAACATACAAAACTAAACAGTAAAAATTGGTTACATACA